TTAGAGCCCAATTGCTTGGTGTTCACTCTTCATGCTGCCATGATTGAGGCAAGAGCCATTAACACTAGTGTCTCTGTGTACGTGCATAAACCCGGGATTCTAAAGTCTGGGATCATAGGGAACTCCGCTAAAATTGCCATATATTGCATGAACCAGCGTAAGAACCAGGAAAAACCTGGGGCATCTTGTGTCCCTGGCTGAGGATTGGCTGGGGAGCAGGGAGGAGAGAGGGCATCTTCTCTCTGATTCCATTAGATTTTAAGCTCCTTGAGGGCAGGGACTGTCTTTTGTCTCTTTTTGTATCCCCAACACTTAGTACAATGTCTGGCACACAGTAGGCACTTAATACATGTTTATTGATTGATTGATAATCTATTGGCAGAATAAAAGAGTAAGGGCTATCAAGGATGGCCTTAGGAAGGTAAGTGGAGCCATAGAGGGTGTCCAAAGAGGAAAAAAAAATAGTAATCAGAGTAATAACCAGCATTTACGGAAAAATCTTAACATTTGAAAAGCATTTCCCAAGCATTAAATTAAACCAAGAGAAGTGGATGAGGCCAGTATCCCTGGAAGGATGAAAATATAGCTGGAGGAGCCACTGGAGCGGGTGAGAGAGTAATTGTCAGTTTCCTGACCCATACAGAAGACAAGATCATGGACTTAGAGGTGGAAGGGGTCTTTGGGGTCATTTAGTCCCATTCCTTCATTTTACAGATGAGGAAACTGAGGCCCAAGGAGATGAAGTGATTGTCCAAGGTCACCAAAGATGTTCTGTTGATTCCCCTCTGCTTTAAGTATAGACTCGTCTTCCTACGTTTCTCTGAATTCCTTCAACTCATAATTCTCATGGGGCCACAATATTCCATCGTATTCATAGAGTACAGTTGGTTCAGCTACTCCTCCATCTAAGAGATCCACCTTTTAAAATACCTTCTTAAATCTTTTCTGGAGATGCCACATGGCTGTAAATGATGAAATGCCACCATTTTGAGGGAATCAAAGTTGCAGGTCACCTTACAGCCAATGGAGAGATGTGTGATAGGGGTGGATGAGCTGTAGGATTTTATTATCTGTGTAAAAGAGATTGTAGGGGCAGCGAGGTGGCACAGTGGATAGAGCACCAGCCCTGAAGTCAGGAGGACCTGAGTTCAAATCTGGCCTCAGACCAAACACTTGACACTTACTAGCTGTGTGACCCTGGGCAAGTAACTTAACCCCAATTGCCTAAAAGAGAGAGAGAGATAGAGAGAGAGAGAGAGAGAGAGAGAGAGAGAGAGAGAGAGAGAGAGACAGAGACAGAGACAGAGAGACAGAGAGAGAGAGAGAGAGAGACAGAGAGAGAGATTGTCAAAGAGATGAGACAAGGCTATCCAAGTAGTGGACATCAGTTTTCTCGTATGTGTAATGAGGCTTCTGGACTAGGTGACATCTGAGGTCCCTTCCAGCTCTGAATCTATGACTATGTTGAAATAAAAAAGGAAATCCCAATGAGGTCTTCATTACTGAAGCTGTCCTCTCTCTGAGTCCCTAAACCAGGGTTGACTCTCTAGTTTCCTTCTCTTCAGAGACCAATTTGCAATGACTAATTGATGTTTTCTCTTGGGTTGCCACCAACGCACGAGTGAGCTCTTTCTTCTCCTATGACTAGGAGAGGTGCTCAAAAAGGTGACTCTCTGTTTGAGTAGGGACAGGTTCGGGATGTTAGAGCTTCCGCCTCCACTGGGACCCTGGGGATTACTTTCTGAAAACAAGCCACCTACTTTCTATGAGCCGTTAGCAAGCATTTATTAAGTACCTATTATGTGCTAGGACTCAGGATACATTTGGTGAGTTAACCAGCACTAATTAAGCGCCTACTATGTGCCAGGCACCATGCTGAATTCTGGTGATACAAAAGAAGGCATAAGACAGTCCTTGCTCTCAAGTAACTGATGGGGGAGACAATATGCAAGTAGCTACGTACAGACAAGCTATGTACAAGATAAATTGGAGATAATAAAGAGAAGGGAATAGAACTTAAAGGGGTTCAGGAACAGTTCTACCTTTAGAAGCTGACCAAGTTTGAAAAACAAAAAAAGAGAAAGTGGAGGTGGGGGATCTTCCTCCCCACTCCATCTCGAAGATAGCTTACAAACCTTGACTTCCTGACCAGGGAGTCTAGGTTACATAAGTTGTAAATGGAAAAACTGGTATTTGAACTGAGATCATGGGGCATGGGGCTCAAGCTAGAAATCACCTCAGAGAATATTTAGTCTAACTTTTCTATTTATAGTTAAGGAGATTAAGGCCCAAGGAGTTTAAATGATTTGCCCACAATGATGCAGACAGTTAAGTTTCAGAGGTGAGATTTGAACCCAAGGCTTTTGATTCCAAATGCAGCATTCACCAAAATTTCACAGAGATGGTGGTGAAATGAGAGAACACCTTTGGCCCAGAAACCTACAATTATTCAATGGGGTTTAGTTAAAATTATCAGGTATTGGGGTGACCTGTAAAACAAAACCTTTTGCTGGGTGTGATGTCTTTTCTCTGGCTTCCTGGGTCAGCTCTGGGCCCTAGGAAGTCACCACAGAGCCCTTGGGTTCCTTCTTAAAAGTGAAAGGAAGTCAAAGGATGCTTGAACTCATGAAGAGGGAGGAAGGGTGGGCCAGAGTGGGTGAACCCTTAAACCACACATCTACCTGAAGAGAAGGAGAGAAAGGGGAGGCTTTGAAATGTTTACCTTAAAATTAAAGGTCTATGTTGAGAGGGTTGTTGGGGTGTGTACATGTAGGAGGGTGGTACGGTGACCACGTGGGAACTTGTCTCTGTGCAGAGTCTAAGTTGGCAGGATTTTTGTGTGTGTGTGTGAAGAATGTGATTTCATTAGTTCCTTGTGTGGAAACTCCCTTTACCATTGCTGAGGAGGGTCTGTAACTCATATGTAACTAATAGTTATAGTTAAGTTGCCCGATGATAATGGGAGATTCACTGACTTGCTCAGTCAATTGTATGATTAGAAAACCAGTATATGTCAGAGGGTATAGTGGAGAGAAAAACCTAACTGAATAATGTATCTACCAGCAAGTTTACAGAAAATAGATGAATTTTTATAAAAATATAAATTATTGAATTTGACAAGATTAGAAATAAATAACCTAGACAAACTAATCTTGAGAAAAGGAAAGTAGCCAGAAGTGAACTGCCACAGAAAAGAATACCAGGACCAGATGAGTTCACAAATCAATCGATAAATCAACATTTATTAAGTACCTACTATGTGCCCGCACTGGGCCAGGTGCCTATTCTGTTAAGCATTTAAAGAACAAATAATCTCTACATTTCTGCAAACTATCTTCAAAAATAGAGAAGGAAGGTACTCGTATCAAATTCTTTATATGAAACAAATGAGATCCTGATAAAACCAGGGAAGGATAGTACAGATAAAGAGAACTAGAAATCAGTAACACTAATGAATATTGATGCACAATATTGGCAAATTATCAATATATATTTATGTATTTGCATATAAAATGAAAGGCAGGAAGGATTTCAAACTACTCAAAGTCCTCTTTAGCAAAGCCCACCAGCCTGCCTTAGGCAGATGGCAACTACCCACATCAATACCACCCATCTCATCTCCACCCCTTTGTCCAAGCCCGACCCTCAGCCCCTTTACAGTATCTTAAAGCCAGCCAGTTCTGCCACAGGTGTATAGTCCCCATAGAAAACAAAATTAAGAGCAAAGAAACCCCAAACCTCCAAAAGCCAAAGTGAGCTTGCAAACCAGCAAATGATACTGGTATCAGCAACACATTTTAGAAAGGAGGGATAATTAAACATTTGAGGCAGTGGTGAAGGGAGAGAGGTCTCAGGCTTTTCTGGTGCCCACTACTATTTTGCTGTGAGGACTCTAACATCCTTATCTGTAAATGTCAGTTTCCTAAATGGTAGTAGCCAGCAACCCAATAACCCTTCATTACACATTTCCCCCCCATGGCACTTGCCAACAAACTTATCATCCAAAAACAAAGAAAGTAGTCTTCTTCATAGGATGTGGGCCCTGTGTGGGGCAGGGGCATGCCCTACCTCTGGGCACTCCCAATTTTGCAGCTCGACACTCAGTAAAAATGTGAAGGAGACCAGGAGAGGGCCTTGTGACATTCAGGTATGGAAAGGCCATGCTGATGTCCTTGGTTTTTTTTCTCCAATTCCACTTCTTGAAATCTTGGAGGGAAATCTCTGGGCTCATCTCCCCTGAGCTCCAAAGCAGACCCTAATATTTTACATGCAGGGGTGCTGTTTGTTTTTCTTTCCTTTTTTTTTTTTTGGTTGATTTGTTTTAATCTAGACCTGTGAATGCATCCACGTAGGTAAGATGATAGGAATAGTCTTAGAAAGTTGCCTTGGGCACTGAGAGTTGAATAAAGTCCAACCAGTAGGTGTTAAAGGCAGCACTTGACCCTAGATCTTCTTGGCTACAAGGCCAGCCTTCTATCCACTTTGGGAAGAGTTTTAGCCTTCTTTTGTGTCCAAGACCCCTTTGGCAGTCTAATGAGGCCTACAGGGTCCTTCTCAGAAAAAGGTTTTTAAATGCATAGAATAAAATGCATAGGATTACACAGAAAATCTATTTTATTGAAAGTTATAAAAATATATTTTTTAAAAGTTCATGGACTTCAGGTTAAGAACCCTAGTTCTATAGCATGCTGTCCCTTCTCCTTGCATATCACTTAATAAATGCCTGTTGAATTGGACTGTTGCCAACAATCGGGCTTCATGTGGGCTCATGAGGCTGTCATCACTGGTGGCTACCACTTACCATGTATCTGCTGCCATAACATACCACCAAGCCACTTCTGAGTCCTCCCAAAGAAGACCTTGGCTATGTGAAGTATCATCCTTGTTAGGAACCCTTTAAGATATAAAAACAGTCTTGCATTTGGGGCATTTCTTTTTGAAGTCACATTTGGTTGTTCTGTGTGAACAAAGGAGCCCAGAGATATATATCAAGACCAGGCTTCTACAGCAATTTACATTAGACTTTATTTTAAAACAAACAAACAAAAAACTCACGACATTTTTGTTCAGAGATAAGAAAAGGGAAAAAAACCAAAAAACAAAGACAAGAGCTAGAATAGCAGACCGGAAGGGCTGCACCACTTTCTATCATGCAAAGTAACCCTAGTTGACACCAGAGACCAAAGTCAGTTGTATAATGCAGATACTAGCAATTAGAAGCCAATGCTGCGAGCCAAGGTCATCTGCTTCTTTGTACAAATTGGACAATCCACAGCCTTTGCTCCTGCTGAAGTTTCTCCGCTTTATCTTCCACTTATGCAAACTCATTTTTGCTAGACAGTCATTGGAGAGACACTTTAGAATCATGGCATCAGACCCAGTGCTGAGAAACTACAAACATGGCGGCTGACTGGTGACTTTCAAAGGCTCTGGGCCAGAGCATGTCTGAATCTTTCCACAAGTAACAGGAAATGGTATTTATGTCATGTGTCGTCCTTTTTCACATAATCCATTGACACTCAGCAAATTACGGAAAGTGCTCGAGGTTTTAGAGAATGTTATGCTACTGATGACCGCCAAACATACTTATGCTATGAACCCAACTCACAAGAGGGACAGGCAATGGTGCAAAGCAGGCAGCCCCAATGGCTTAGGAAAATTTCAAAAGTTCATTGCTGTTCTCATGCCTCAGTTCCTCCAATTCTGCTTATATAAAATCCAGTGCATTTCTTCGGCAGGCTATTTGAAGAACTTTATCTTTTGGGGGGAGGGTTGAGTGGGAAGGGGTACTCATCTTTGAAGCCTGAAAAAGAAGTCAGAAAATTATTCATCTTTTGAAGCTGGCACACCGAATTTTTGCTATTGTGAGCTAATGTATAAGAGACAATATTGTAGAGTGGCTAGAATTCTGGGTGTGGCATCAGGAAGTCTGAAGTTCGAATCCTGCTTCAGATATATGTGACTGAACCGATTTCATTTATTTAATTAACTATCCACATTTTGTTACTCCTTGAGGAACTACTTTGGGCTTTCTGTCGCCAGGTAGCACAGTGCTTGAAAAACACTCGTTTAACTGAATTGAATTAAATCAACCAATGGCAAGCAAAGTCACTAACTCATAGGATCAAAGATCTAGAGATCTTCAGAGGTCATCTAGTCCAACTCATTCATTTTTACAGTTGAGGAAACTGAGGCTGAGACTGGTCAAGTGACTTGCCCAGGGTCAATGGAAGCAGGCTAAAGAAATATCTCTGAGCCTCAGTTTCCCTATCTGTAAAATGGAGTTAATAATACCTACCACAACTACCTTAAATTTCCATCAAAATGGTGGTTATTATTATTAGTAACAATGAGAATTAACTCTTTCCAAGCACTGAGAGATCCAATTTTATAGGATTATCATAAGGAAGATGGTGGCCAGCTCTCTGCTGGGCCCAGCCAAATGTGAACATGCTAAAGGGTCAAAAGGCAGATGAGAGAGGGTCAGATGAGCAGAGGACCTCAGAGGACACCCACAATTTGAGTAGCAGGAAAATAAACAGACAAAAGAGGCAGGAACAGAGAGGTAGGGAATTAGAGTCGTATAGTTCCATGAAAGGCAGTGAAAGAAGCAGGTTGTCACAGGATCACAGCTTTGGAGCCAAATCAGATCTTCAAGGTCAGCTGGTCCATATCTATATCTATATATCAATCTTGTATGTACAGAGCTGTTTGTGTGTGTCTCTTTGATTAGATGGTAAGCTCCCTGAGGGAAGTGATTACTACCCTTAACGAGCATGGGAATATTTTAATGTTTTAAACAGGAACTTAGACAAACACTATGTTTTCAGAATTGACAATAAGTCTTTAACACCTACCCTAGGTACTGTTGGTTTTGAAGTATTAGAAACTCACTCTCTTGCTTTGAGTCAAACACACTGGTATTCTCTGTTTTAGGAGCAATGGAAAGTCAAGGCCCCAGAACCCGAAAGAATCCCCTGTTCGTGGTGACCTATGACACAAATTCAATCCGGGGACCCCCAATCAGTTAAGCAGGCAAGGAGGCGTTTGGGGCCCATGCTGTGCTTGGCACAGTGGAGGGAGCACCAGAAATGGCTGCCACAGAATTGTGTATGACACAACTGGAAAATCAGAATGGACACACACTTGTTGTATGTCTTTACAAAAACATGGCGGCACACTTGCTCAGACCGTAGTTCTTCAATATCTGTTTTTGGTGAAAAACATTCCTGCGTATTTGCCTAGACCTTGCCACACTTATGGCAGGTAGAGGCAGGGAGACAATGCACACCGAAAGAATCCAATTAATACCCAACATACACAGCTTATGGGGAGGTCTCTCCTTTTTGGGAAAATGCAAGTTAATTAAATTCATTAGCGTTATTATTTTTTTTTGTCCATTGCCCTAATGACTCTAATTACTTATTTGTTCTTGTTGTTATTGATGAAGACGATGATGATGATGCTCTAAAGAGTGGTCTGTGGCATTGAGAAGGTAAAGGACTAGTCCAGGGTCACACAGACAATATGTGTCAGAGGCAGGATTCGAATCCAGGTCTTCCTGACTCCATGTCTGGCACACACAGCTATGGGGAGTAGACTTGGTATTTCACTGGTGTAAGGACCTCGCAGATAAGGGAATTGCCTCTAACAATGCAGCTCAGATCCTCCTCTGAAACTCTGAAAGAGATGCCTGGGGCACTGAGAGATTTAAATGCCTTGCCCTGCTCTTACTGGCCCCAAGGCTGACTCTCTGAGATTTACACATGATCATTTGGTCCAGGACTTCTAGGCTTTTGGCCTTGGGTTAGATTCAGTGACTACTAGAAGCCAGCAATTGCATGAAGAGAATGGAAACCCAGAATGCCCCAACTCACGCAGGGAGTTTTCACCAGACATTAAGCATCAGCAAACCTTTCAGGGATTCATATTACTTACTGTTTCACAAAGTGGTGCCGAGCTACATTCCATAAATCTGTAGGGAGAGAGTGAGAGGCATGAGTGTTAACTTAATCTGTTAGACCCTCACATCCACTAATCCGCTAACAAGTCTTTACTGAGCACCTCCTTATGTTCCCTTCACTGTTCCAGTTAGTTATTGGGATTCTCATGGATGTCCTCACCATCTCTGACCTCAGGAGAGTATGAGCTCACTGAGGAGAGACTGGCCCATGGAAAACCACAAGACAGTAATAAGACAGAATAATCTGAAAAGCTTCCCTAGGGAAAAATGCACAAAACTCTACAACTGGAGTATCTTACTGAGTTCTGGGCATCAGGTTTTATGAAGGACATTGACGGAAAGTGTCCAGAGGAGGACAATGAGGATGGTGAAGGGCCTTGGGTCAGTATATGAGGATTGCTTGAAGAAATTGGGGATATTTAGTCTGCAGAAGGAGATTCAGGGGAGATGAAATAACTATCTTTACACATTTTAAGTGCTGTCACATGCAAGGGGCAATCAGCCAGTCAAGAAGCATCTATTAAGCATTTACTATGTGCCAGGGACCATGCTAAGTGGTGAGTGAGGAAGCTGTTGCAATAGTCCAGGCAAGAGATGAAGAGGGCCTGAAAGAGAGGTGACTGTGAGCAGAGAGAAGGGGACATATGAGAGATGGTCGGAAGGTAGAGACTGCAAGACCTGGTAAGAGACTGGACATATGGGGTGAGGAAAGATGAGGAGCTGAGGATGACACCAAGGCTGTGAACCTGAGTGACTGGGGGATGGCTGTTCCATCAAGAGGAAGAGGGAAATTCATAAAAGGGGAGAATTTGGGGTGGATAGAAATAATGAGTCTGCCTTGGGGACATGTGGAGTTTGAGGTGACTACATGGTCTCTAGTTAGTGATATCCAAAAGGCAGTTGGTGATGTAGAATGATACCTTTCAAGAGACCAGGGCTGGATATATGGATCTGGAAACCATCTGCTCAAAGATGATCACTGAACCTATGGGAGCTGATAAGATCAAATGGGAGAGAACAGAGAGAGAAGAGAAGAGGGCCCAGGACAGAGCCTTGAGTTATTGTTTAGCCATTTCAGTCATACCTGACTCTTTGTGACCCCATTTGGTGTATCTTGGTAAAGACAGTAGAATGGTTTGCCATTTTCCTTCTCTATCTCATTTTACAAATGAAGAAACTGAGGCAAATAGGGTTAAGTGACTTGCTCAGGGTCACACAGGTAATAAGTGTCTGAGGCTGGATTTGAACTTAGGAAGATGAGTCTTCCTGACTCGGAGCTTGGTGCTCTATCCACTGTGCTCTCAATAGACTTAAGAGATCCCCACAATTATCTGATGTGGCAAGAACCAGCAAATATGACTGAGAAGTTATGGTCACAGAGTGAGAGGGAGAAGCAGGAGAAAGGAAGATCACAAAAACATAGAAAAGAGAGAATCCAAGAGGAAAAGGTGATTAACAGTGTGAATTGCAGCAGAGAGTTCAAGGAGGATGAGGACTGAGAAAAGGCCATTAGATTTGGCAATGAAGAGATCAAGGGTAACTTTGGAGAGAGCCGTTCCATTTGAAAGATGAAGCCAGATTGCGTAGGCTTGAAAAGAGGGTGAGAGAAATGGAGGCACATGTGTAGACAGTCTTCTCAAGGAGCTTAGCTTTGAAGGACAAGAATGATAAAGCATAGTGAGAGGTTTTTGAGTCTGAGGGAGACATGGGCATGTTGTAGGCAGCAGAGAAGCAACCAGTGGATAGAGAGAGAGAGTGAGGAAGAAAAAGCACAGATTATAATGGGGATAATCTGTTGGAGATGATAGGAAGGGATGGGAGCAAAGGTGTGTGTACAGGAGTTCGCTTTGGAATGAATAAACATCCAAACCATATCATCTGCATATGCAATACATGCAGTTTGATTTGATTAGGAAGGACAAGGCCAGAGGTTAGGCAACAGGGGGACAAGAACAAGGTAGGCAATGATGGGAGCTTTTGTGAGGACAGACAAAAGTGAAAAACAAAATTTGTCAAGAGAAGCTGAGTGGATATGGTCAAAATTTATAAAAATTATGGAAAGAATTACTAAAGGAAAAGGTGGCCTTTTTCATCAAATCTGGGAAAATTAGTATTAGAGGTACCCCCTTTGAAGCTAGAAAGATAGAATTTTAGAAAAGCTTAAGCACTCCTTGAGAGTGGCTAGTAAACTTTTGGAACATGATAATAAGGTGGTTTGGAGGTAAAAAGTACAGGTTCAAGAAAGATTAACATTAATTTATGAAAGATTTACCCATAACAGGTTATTAAGAGAAACTGGGGTGGGTCATGTCCTTAGCCTTTTGAAGTTGCTTCAGCAAGAATAGCCGTGTTTTCTCACAATGGCCTTTGGTTGTCAATATCAGACAAAATATAGTATACTTCAAATAGCTGATGGAGAAATGAGTGTTTTGGACAGTTTAGCCTGTGGCGTTCTTTACTCTTCATGGTACATGCTTAAGAGTTGCCCCATAATGAGTGTTTAAAATTGTATCTTGTCCAAAGCTCTTTCTGTCTGTGTGTGTTTTCAGAATAGTCTCACTTGCAAATTAATTGCAACAGTCTAAGCTTTTACTGGTCCCGCTGAATAAGGGATGGGTTTATATAAGTGAATTGGCCCTTAAGTTGCTGCTGTGTGCCCTTGTCTTATATTTGGCTCCAGAATCCATTGTCTAGCTACGTGTGTGCTTAACGAAAATGTAACGGTTCAGTTTTCTTAGAACAATCCTGCAATCTATATCTGCTAATATGAGGGGGAAAGTGAACTCTGGTTTGTCCACAAAGTTAAGCTGGCACCACTGTGAATGGGCAGTTCTGTCTACCTAACATGACTTTAGTATCCCTGGAAAACAAAAGAGTTTGCCTTGGCACATCTTTTTCTGAGATTGTCACAAAGGAGAAAATAATGGGAAAAGTTGTATGAGTGACGGGAGATTAGGAAGGAGGGAGAAGGGGCAGTTTTGGTCAAATAGTCTCAATGTAGGGGGGTCAAATATGAGGCAAGTGTGAGGGAAAGGATACAATGAGAGGCTTGAAGATAGAGGAGAAGGTTTGGAACAGTTACCGTTGAGACTAGGACAGCAAGTCAATGAGAGAAGAATAGAAGGTCTGCACTGCAGCAGTGAGGGCACAGTAGAGAGAAATTTTAGGGGCCAAGTCATCATGGCTTTATGATTTTCCCCCAGCTCTATTCAGCAGTGTGTGACTAGGAATGAAGGAGACAGATGGTAGAAGTATTGTACCAGGGCTGGGGCTTGGAGAGGCGTGAAACACAACAGAACAACGGATCCAAGAGTAGAGAAGGGGGTAGAGTCAAGATGGGGAAGGGAGGAGAGCCCGCACAGGGTGACGGCTTGGGAAAGAACTGAGGGAGAGGGCTAAGAGATCACAGTGAGGATGAAGAACAGGGCTGGGGTGGTAAAGCACCGAGAAAGACGAGATGATACAAGATTCTGACCAGAAAAAGGAATTTCAGAGTTCATGACCACGTAAGTGACTGAGCTTTCGATCCCTTTGTGGGTGATAGCAAAGTCAAAGGCAGGACCATCTTAGTGTGTGGGTGAAGTGGGGAACTGAGTGGATTAGGGAACTGGAAAGTTGGGGTATTTGAGGAAGCATCAACATGTAGGCTGAAGTCCCCAAGTATGAGGATAAGAGGTGGGAAGGAAAGAAAGGCTCTGAACTCAGAGAGGAAAGGAGTGAGTTTAAATTCTCGGTTCCTAAACAAAATGTATAGAAGACCCTAACCCATCACACAAATGCCCCTAGAAGAATCTTAGCCATGAATTCGGAGGGAGGAAGACCCCCAAACACTGAATAATGAACTATATCATTAAAGGGTTAGAGATTCAGAGCTGGCGGGTCATCTCATCCAACCCTTTCACTTTACAGATGATGAAAAAGGCCTAGGAGGATTAAATAATTTGTCTGAGGTCACATTGCCAGAAAATGGTACCGTGCCGTCTGTCATTCCCACTTGTTCTTAACACGCACCTAATCCCACCTCCTTATCTTTTAGCCTAATGGCCGCTGCTCCCATTTCCCAGCCCTGAGAAGTAACATGGGCCACACTGGACTCTAGACCTCACTGGGGCAGGCCTCTCACTGCTCATTCTTGGTCCTCCTCAATTCCAATTCATTTGATCTCATAAACATTTATTAAGTGCTTGCTGTATGCAAGGTAGGGAGCATTCTTCAAACAAAGGGTCCTTAGGATGCAAACCAACATTTCCCCCTTTCCCCACCTTTTCCTCAGGTCTAAAAGGGACTGTGAAAAATGGTGATCTCTTGATCTCTTACTCCATTTGTGATGACGAACAACTTACAATTCAATCGGATGATCACAATGATGGAGATCAGCAAAATCACAGCACATCCCACCAGCAGGCTTAGGGTGAAGGCGCTGCAGAGGGAACCTGGAGGCACAGCAAAAAATACAGTTTTTGAAACACTATTTAAAAAGTTCATGGATATTGGGTGAGGAACTCCTGCCTTAACAGACGATCATTGCGGCAAAATATATATATATATATATATATATATATATATATATATATATATATATATATATAATATATATATATATATATATATATATATTATATATTATATATATCTCATCATCATCTGGTGACCATCTGTCTGGTGATGAACTCCTCCATTTCACAGATAAGAAAATTGAGGTCTGGAGACATTAAGTGGTTCTCCAAAAGCCACCAAGTCTAGTGTTCACCACCACACCCTCCTAATCTATGTGATGTCCCAGACTGCTTCTCTTAACTGGTTGACCACCAACATCTATCAAAAGAGCCCGAGAATGTTATTAAGTCTATACAGTTTCATAACGAAGACAAGATAATCAAGAGGAGAGCAGTAAGGAAAGAATAATGGACAGAGAACTACTTACAACAGGCCAAGCTCATGGAGAGAAAATCTAAGAGAATCCAGCAAGTGTTTGGTAAACACCTGCCAGGCACAGAACAAATGCTCAAGGTGCTGAGGGAGATGCGAGCTTAAGATAAGTACTAGTCTCTGCCTGAAACTGTTGCCCCTAAGACCAAGGCTCCATGTTTGCAGGTGTTTCAGCATGGATGGGACCACGGTAAGAGCATGCTGCCACTCCAGCCACAGAGAGAAGCCAGTCAACAGTAGCATTGCTTCTGAACACAAATGTCTCCCTTCAGATCATCGTTGGAAGGGACTATAAAACAGAGTATACCGCAGCCTTCTCATTTTACAGGTGAGGAAACGGAGACCAGGGAAGTTAAGTGATTTGTTTGAGGTTACAAGACAATAAATGGCAGAGGTAGGATTCAAACCTAGGCCTTCTGGCTCCAGCTATCGTGTTTTTCCCACTGTACCATGGAAGCTCTTTTCCTTGATAGGGGACCCAGTTGTATATGCAGATGAAGCAGGGAAAAATTTCTAAACAATCCCTTTCATTCTGCAAACACATAAAGGCATCCCACACAGCTGAAGCCAGTATCCCTCCCCCTCCACTGATACCCTAAGACATCAACCCAATGAGTCGATATGAGATGAAGGGGCCAGCAAGATGTGAGGCACCAGCAGGACAGCTACAGGATACTAACAAGAATACATTGCCTTCCCCTTGTATGAAATCATGTTGCCACCACCTCTTGTGGCATCTCTGAGCACAATTTGGTTCATCGTCTTGGTGGATATCAAGGAACAGGAGAAGGTCTGGAAAAGAGTCATTAGTATAGGAGTCTTAATAGTTTTTGTGTCCTAGACCTCTTTAGAAGTCCACTAAAGCCTATGGACAATCTCTCAGGAAAATGTATTATTGCCTACATTCATAACGGAAGGAGATGCTAAATTACAGTGACAGGTTAGTGAAAATAAAGACATAATGCACCCCCACTCTCCAATTTAAATTCACAAAACCCTTGAGATCTATCCATGGACAACAGGTTAAGAACCTCTAAGCTAGAATGACTGAGGAGACCGTGAAATCGGAAAGGGAAGTTTATGGATGAAGACAGACTAAAGAAAAAATGGAGACTCTTCAAACTAGAAAGACAAAGGGATTAAAATGAGGAAGGGATTATTAGAGGAAACAGCCTAGATTAGGAGATAGTATAGATTAGGAGAGGTAGCTGGACATTGTATAATTAGGAGGGCATAGTGGAATGAATACTAGACTCGCCTTTTGGAAAACTAATCTCTCCAATCCTCTGTTTTGTCATCTGTGAAATGGAGGAGTTCATCACCAAAAGATTGACTTCTGGATGATGAAAAGGAATTATAATCAAAGTCTATAAAAATTTTTTTTTAATGGGAGGGTAGGGACCTACGATTTCAGGGTATCGGGAATTCCTAGTGTACAAATTCCCTCCACTAACGGACATTAATAGTCCATCTCTAACTTACACTTTTACAAAGTTGTCTGAGGTTGGAAAAGATAGATTAAGTGACTTGCTTGTGGTCACACAGCCAGAATGAGACAGAGCTTGAACCCAGGACTCTTTGACTCCAAGGTCAGCGCCATAACCACTACACCACACTGCCTCTTTTTTGGCCCCATTTTGGGACAAAATTAGCAGGCATCTCCTAAGGAAGTCTAAGAGATAAGTGGAGGAAAATGTGAGGAAGCTGTAGTTAGTTAGCCATCCTCAGTCTCCATTTCTTCATCTTTGAAGTATAGATTTATGGTCTCCCTGGTCTAGATCTGTTATCCTATGACTGTCTCTAACTACTATCTACAAGAAGATAACTAAATCATAAAAGGCTCAGAATCACATATATCAATTAAAATTATTTTTAATTTTATGAAGTAACTAAAACTTATTTTTAAAAACAGCATGTTATATCTCTCATCCCCTTTGAGGTCCTAATCAGAATACCCCACAAACCAAAAGGTTTGGATACAGACAGCTTTCCTGGTGAAGCCATACAGAGCTGTGAGTGACACTGACTGATGCCTCCTTTTTTCTGCATGGATAAGAATAATTTCAGTTCCAACAAGCATTCATCGAGTGCTTACTATGTGCAGAGCTTTTTGATAAGCACTGGGAAGAACATAGTGTTAAATAAAATATGCTTCTTATCTTCTTAGGGCTCTCACTCTAGTTGGGAGATACAATATACACAGAGATATTTGTGTGTTTCCAGATTTAATAAATTCTAATATCTGGCTTTGATTTTTTTTAAAGAAGGAAATGGAAGATGGAGGTAAGAATAGCTGAATCATGTAAGTATGTGTGCATGCCGTTTAGAGACATACTCCAACTTGCCATTAAGAAAATTCCAACTGGTTAAAAAAAAGCATTTAAATGAAGTTAATTCTAGATTTGTGCTAGAGGATGGTGGTCTAGAAAATCCAAAAGAGCAGATACTAAAAAACAAATTATTTGTGTTTATAGTACATTGTATGATTCATGCTCCTTTAAGGATCTCTTACTAAAATCAAGCAAGCATATTGCTGAGGGTTCAGAGAAATGGGAAGGAGGCCTTACCATTCTGTTGAGTGACCTTTGGGGTTGTATTGCATACTCTCCTCTTGGGAGTGGTCTTTTTGGTGGGTGTAGGGGTTGTAGGCAAGACATCAACTATAACAAAAAGAGAGATAATATTTTATTACAAGAGAACTTGGGGCTCCCATGCATTCTAGATTCTGGCTGAACTGACTTATTTGCTGCTCCCCATATACCACATTCCATGTCCTGCCTCTGCAGAAGCTGTTCCCTATACCTAGAATGCTCCTCCTTACCTCCACTTCTTAGACTCCTTCACTCCCTTCAAGGCTGAGCTCAAAAGCTACCTTTTCCATGAAGCATTCCCTGATTCACCCAGTCATCTCCTTCCCACCTCTAAATTAATTCACTTTGCATATATTTTGTATTTATTTATATGCATACATATTTTCTCAATAGAATGTAAGCACTTTGAAGTTAGAGGCTGCTTCATTTTAAAAATCTTTCTATATCTAGAAGCTTGCACAGTGCCTGGCATTTAGAAGGTAATAAATAACGCTTGTTGAATGGAATTAAATTGAGTTGAAGCACATTTAAACAGCAGCCATGCTATCTATGCCCAGCAGATCTTTTTTTTTAACTTTCCCTGTACTATAATGATGATGATGATGATTACTTAGCATTTATATAGCTATTTAAGGTTTGTGAAGAGCTTTACAGAACTGAAAGGAAGAAACAGAATTTTTGCTCAGTGGTGTAAATGCATTTGAGGGTCTGAGTCTCCTAAACTTGCATAAAACTTGCTCATAACCTTCCTCCTAACCCCAAACATCACCAGAGCAGAAGGAGATTGGCCTATGTCCCTTCTCCTCATAACCCTCAAGTTCTAAGCTTTGTGCCTCCCCACCACACTTTTCAAGATTGCCCTCAGAATTAAAGAATCATTAGACCACACCACCACTCATTAATTAACCCAATCTCTTTGGAGGTGTCCAAGTCTTCATCCCTAACACCCTGTTCCCAACCCACAAATCCCCCCCACCATTATGGACACATAAATTCAGAATAAAGCTGGCAAAGGCTGACTGATCAGCCATAGCCAAACACACCATACTCTGACTCCAACGTTGTAATGTCATTGGTCTTCTTCGAAAATGAAGGATGGACAGCAACAGGGGGCTAACATCTTCATGGCCATAACCATTTGACTCAGTTTATTTTCTCTTGAATTGCTGGTTTCTTTAGGACAAGTCAGAATGCATTGGCTTTATTCCCTAGCTCCCCAGTGCCTGCCTACCTGTTGTTGCATTTCTATGGAATAGCTTAAGCTAAACTAAGGAAATGGGGGATGGGGAGAGGAGAAAGAGAGAGACACAGAGAGAGACAGACAGACAGAGGGAGGGATGGAGGGGGAGAAGAGAAGAAGGGAGAGAGATACAGAGACAGAGATAGAGAGAAACAGAAAGAGGGAGACAGAGAGAGAAGGATAGAGACAGACAGTGAGAGAGAGAGAAAGACAGAGGGAAGGAGAAAGAGAAAAACAGAAAGGGAGGGAGGGAGGGAAAGAGAGAAAGAGAGAGAGAGGGAGAGAGAGAGAGAGAGAGAGAGAGAGAGAGAGAGAGAGAGAGAGAGAGAGAGAGAGAGTATGGCAGGGGTGGCCACAGTCTAAGTTGGTTTTGTCTTTCTGTCCTCGGCACCTAGCATACAGTAGTCACTTAATAAACGCTTGTTAAATTGATTTGAATCTAATTCTAGGAGACCGGACCTATCTGGGCTGGAGTATTTTAGAATGGACCCAGTAATCTGTTTTACAATGTCTATTACTCAGTTCAAGTGAGTTTAAATTTTGGGTTCCTAAACAAAATGTCCAGAAAGCCCCAAGCCATTGCATAAGTGCCTCTAGAAGAATCTAAGCCATGGATTTGGAGGGAGGAAGACCTTCCTTATGTGGACCCCCAAACACCGAATAATGGATTCCTGCACTATATCGTTAAAGGGTTAGAGATTCAGAGCCGGCGGGTCATCTCATCCAACCCCTTCACTTTAAAGATGAGGAAAAAGTCGTAGCGGGATTAAATAGTTTGTCCAAGGTCATGAAGCTAGAAAATGGGAAAGGCATCATTTGAACCAAGGTCCTCTGACTAAACAAAACAAAAAACTCTTCATCAGAGCCTCTAACTTCTCCTAACTAGGCCACAGGAAACACCTTGACAGAATGAGAAGGGAGACCCCTCTGAGCGTCCCAATTGGGCCCTCTGCTCTCAGCGGAAAGCTTTTCTGACTGCAGCCCCGTGGGTAATGGCTGATGCTGAGGAGACACAAAGACCCGGTTCTGAGGGCCATGGGATATATCCCCTCTCTGTCTCCATCAGGTGCAATGATACTCGCCGATGCTTCCACGAGATCAACAGAGACCGTACCCACATTTAGCCAGGTTCCGCTTCCAAAGACCAGTTGAGGACCTACGATAATGGCACAGATGTAGACACCACCATCCGAAGGCTTCACATCCAGAATCCTGAGCGTGGATTTGGACGCCTCTCCAGACACAAGGACATGTTCTGAATCGATGCCCTCCCCATGAGTGAAGGTCGTCTTGTCTGAATGGACCAGAAACTGATAGCGACTGTCAGTGCTGGGAGGTGCCACCTGACGAAACCAGTAGATTCCATAAGTGTTTGCGGATGATCTGATGTCACAGAAGAACTTTGCCTCTTTGTCAGTCTGAACCAGGAGGGTTTCTGGGCTCTGTGTGATAACTGGGAGTCTGGAGGTCCCTGGAGTGAACACGAAAGGAGAGAGAGCACGTCAGCCCATCTAGGACTTATTCCCAATGTGTGAATGTACTTTGAGCTTTTGGGATAACAGCTTCTTTCAAGGCTCAGCTTAAATCCTACCTTCTGCAGGATGCCTTTCTCAGGGCCCTCCACTGCTGATGCCTTCCCTCTGATAGTACCTCCAAGTACACTGTACATATCTTGTATGTACATAGTTGTGTCAAGATGGCTTTGTCATTAGACTATAAGCTCCTTGAGGGCAGGGATTGTAATTTTTGCCTTTTTTTATATCCCTAGTGATTAACACAGTTGGCTGGCACATAGTAAGCTTTTAAAAAATGTTCATTGACTGGCTGACTGAGCTCACTATGTTTGTGCCCTTTAGTCAAAGCATTTACTCTCTCTGGCCTTACTTCCCTTATCCATAACGGGACAGGGTTAGAATAAATGACCTCTGGGGTCCCTTCCAACTTAAAATCCATAAAACAAAATATTTATTAGTAGTAGATGGGAAATCTTTACAATGCCTGGCTGTTTTGTGACCCCATTTTGGGCACTTTTCTTGGCAAAGATACTGGAGTGCTTTGCATATATCCAAGACCATATTTATGGGTCTCAAGCTGGAAGGGCATCAGAGATCATTTATTCCAGCTCTCTTATTTTACAGATGAAAAATCTGAGGTTAAGTGACTCGTCCAAGGTCACACAGATGGTTCAGTGGCAAAATCATGAATCAAACCCACGTCCTCTGACTTCACTCTGTATGCTAAATCATTTGGCCTCAATTTTGTCATCTGTAAAATGGATAATACCTGCTCAGCCAAACTCATAAGAAAGACATGAGGTAGCATTATTAATAAGAACAACTCTATATAATGCTCACCATAGCTCTTAGAGGTTGCTATTATCCACTCCCCACTGAATCCATACACGACATGCCTTAGCTTGGCTTTCACTCTCATTCAATTCACTGTCTATCTGGGGGAATCACAGACCACCTGGCATAAGGCTTTGTACAAGGTAGGCGTTAAGTAAATGTCTGCAGAAAGGAGCTGGTGTTGAGATGCAGCTCAATTCCATAAACATCCGTTACTCGTCTGCTCTGTTAGTGTCCATCCAGACTGTGATGGAAGCTTTTGTCTTCTCCTAAGACTGAGGTGTGTTCTGTTGCCTATTCCCCCCACCCCATGAAAGAAGAGTTTCAAGTACCTTTCACACACTTAGATGTAGTGTGATAAACAGAGTCCTGGCTTTGGAGACAGCACGCCTAGGCTCTGATCTCCCTTCCATCATTAAACATGAAATAAAGTGACCTCTAACACACATATCTCTGAGCCTCGAGTTCCTCATCCACAAAATGGGTCTGCTTTGCCCACCCGATTCAAAAACTTGTTGTCAGGACTGACTTGTTGACAAGGAGCAGATGGCATTTAGGGATAGGGTGTCATCACAGAGTACCCTATAGTCAGGAGATCAGGGGTCTAGACCTGGCTAGGCCACTAACTAGCCATGCAATGTGGGTCAAGTCAGTCACGTTCTCTGAACCTCAGTTTCCTCATCTTTAAAGTGGGGATAATTACACCTACCTTGCCTACCTCACAGGGTTAGTGTGAGGATCAAATTAGACAATGGATAGGCAGGGCTTTCAAAATCAGTAAGCCATCAGCAAAGTGCAAGACATCTCTATTAAACAACAGCAGTGAAAACCCAGAAAATATAGAAAACATTTAAATAAGTATTGGGAGGCACAGCACAGGTGAGAAAAAAGAACGGGGGGGGCAGACAGAGGAAAGATGCTTAATTACAATTCTTAGTAATTATGGAAGTAATGTGAGTTGCACAGTTAGTAATTTTGGAAGTCAGATATTTGATAGATCTGTTGAGTGGTTCTATAATCATACACATTTTTTCCTTTTGCTCCTAAATCTTCAATGGCTCCCTATGACCTCTAGGAAAAAATAGAAGCTTGTTGACCTGCCACTTAAAAGCCTTTTATAATTTGGCTCCAGCCTCAGTTTCCAGACTATAAACTCTCAGGCACGAGAAGTCCCAGACAAATGCTCTAAGTAGTATTACTCCCCTGCAGCTGCTCTACAGCTAGGTCCTGATTAGTGTCTATACCAATAAGGGAATCCCTGGCAACTGGCTGCTTATTTGAATTCACATTGCATGTTTCCACTGGGCTGGAGGCAAACCTGCATAATTGTAACTTCCAATAGAGCAAATTCAGGAATTCATCATGTGCACTACTCAGGACCAAACTGTACATTCCAGCCAATCTGTGCTATGTTCTGTTCCTCAGACTTGGAGTTTCACCTCCTGACTCTGTGACCTTGCATAGGCTGTGACCCCTATACCTGGAATGCACTCCCTCCCTGGCTGCCCTGTTTTGGAATCCCTAACTCCCTTCAGGATTCAGTTCATGAGCGGATTTTCCTGTTTATTTGCTCTCTCTCGAAGTCTCAAATTACTAAGTGTTTACTTATCAATGTATACTTTGTATCTTCCATTCCCTCCAGAATATAACTTCTTTGCCACTTTTATTTTCAAATTTCCCCTGCCTGGAACAGTGTCTCACACATAGTGTGAGTGCTTAAGACATGCTTGCTAGATTGAATTAATGAAGTATCTTTGGCTTAAAAAAAGCTCTCTGTTCTCGTTCTTTTTGGGGTTCAGGCTTTCACCATCTAGTCTCTTCTTCCCAAGCCCACCAATAAATGGGTCTCAGTCCTAGCCCCAAGGTTATTTTATTTGACATTAGCCAAGGGATCCAGAACAGTCTGCTGTTTCGATATGATAATGTTGATAAAAATTCATGTTGAATCAAATTGATCCAAGTATCTCAAAATCATTTCATGTGCACTTTAGACCTTCTATCTCTCAAACATTCCCATTTTATAGCTGGGCAAAATGAGGCTTTGGGAGGGAAAATGACTGGCCATCCTCATCATGTTGGAGAGTGATTCTGTTTCTCTTAGAGAGTGGCCTCGGCTACAGAGTCTATGGAGTGATTCCCAGAGGTGTAAATTGGATTTGGTCATTTAACCCTCCTGCTAGGAAAGGTAAGTAGCAGATTTCTCAGAAAAAAAAAAAGAAAGAAAGAAAAGAAAGAAATTTAATGTAGCACCAAGCCTGGTCAGCTTGACTTGGGTTCCCTTTTCCACCCTTACTATTAGCGAGAGGACAGAACATTCACATTTCCAGCTATTGTTTTTTTCTAGGAAGTGGAAGAGAAGAATCTTTCATCAAAATACGTCTATACGCTAGTTAGATGGAATAAAATCCCAACGTAGATGACAAAGCTGGGGTTTGAACCTGTCTCCTCACTTCAAATCTAGTGCTCCGCTGCCAGCTGCTTTGTTAGCTTATCTCTAAGGAGAGCATGTCTGCAAACTTTCCATTGGACTGATTAAATCTCTCTCTTTCTCTCTCCCTTTCTTTTTTCCTTTTTTCCTTCCTTTCTTCTTTTCTTTCATTTTTTCTTTCTTTCTCTCCCTTTCTCTATTTCTTTCTCCCTCTTTCTTTTTTCTCTCTCCCTTTCTTTTCTCTCTCTCTCTCTCTCTCTCTCTCTCTCTCTCTCTCTCTCTCTCTCTCCCCTTCCTTCCTTCCTTCCTTCCTTCCTTATAAATTTTTACTGATTTTAGTGGCAGGGGGAACAGGAGAAGCTGAAGATTCCCTGCCCCTGGAGAGAGGATGAAGAATGGACCTTGGACCCAGGAAGATCTGGGTTCAGTCCCACCTCTGGCACATACTGGTCATACAACTCTGGATAGGGCAACTAAACTCTCCCAGCCTCAGTTTCTTCATCTGTAAAATGAGGCAGGTTGAACTCAATGCCCTGTAAAATCCCTTCCCATTCTAATCTATGATTCTATGATATCAGAAGATGACCCCATCTAAGAGGGACCTGCTGTGCCCTTCCTCAGCAGCCATCTAGTCCCATACCCCAAAAGGAATACTGATACAAACTATCCCTCATGCAGTCATGCTCCTCTTCTTGAAGACCTCCACTCTCTTCAGAGGCAGCCCGTTAGAGAGCTGGCCTGTTAGACCTGGGTTCAAGGCCTGCTTCTGATGAAGATTGCCCGGGTGACCCTGAAGAAACCACTTAACTGCTAGTGGTAGAGAAGGTGTAGACTTGCATTGGTAGAGAGATTTTCCTTATCTGGGAGTTCCCTGTACCAACGAAATCACAGATCCAGTTCCTACCCTTTTCTTTCTATGTCACCTATATTTCCCTCCCTCTCCCCTCCCAGAAAGCCATGCCTAATAAAAAGGAAAAAGAAAAAAAAAGTTCAGCAAAACAAACCAACATTTGGAAAGAGTCTTTCATTCCATGCTATGGTCCACACCCATGGGTCTCTCTCCATCTTTGCAAAGACCGCTGGCTAAGTTTTAACCTCTAGGCACCGAAGCCAGAGAGCCCAGAGGAGTTTGGAGGTATTCCTAACGTAGCAACAGAGCCCATGTCAGCTCGACATTCAAGGCCCTCCACAGAATGGTGCCTTTCCTTCCTCCCATTCCTACCCTCCGCTCCCTAAAACCCTCCAGGTTCCCTCTAGCCAAACTGGCCCACACTCACCTCTGCAGTGCTCTTCACTAGTGTCTGCCCCTACAATGCCCTCCTAGATTGTCCTCCCCATCATTCTCTCTACCTATTGAAATCCTACTCATAGTGTAAAATGCCAAATGTAAAGCCCTCCTTTACTGTCTCCCCTTTCCTCAAAGGTAAATGCCTGTAGTCGCTTTAAGCTTGTTTCATTCACACCTCATAATGTATCTCTGGGGTAGGTGCCATTATTACCCCCATTTTACAGATGGGAAAATGGAGTCTCAAAGAGAAGTGACTTGCTCAGGGTCACACAGCCAGTAAGAGAGAAGAATCCTTTCTCTCTCCGAGTTTGCTTAGTTTCTTGTTTGTATTTTTTTTTCTAATAGCTGGTATTTTTGTAAGGTTGCCTAGTTTATAAACCATGACGTCAGCGATGTAACTATTATTTGCTCTTATGGGTTATGGGAATCAGAAAAACCCAAGTTCTAAGTCTGACTCAGTTACTAAAAAGGGGCAAAGTCATTTAACATCTGGAGCCTCAGTTTTCCTCATCTGTAAAATGGGGATAATACCTGCTGGTCAACTTCGTTTGTTTCTAGGATGAAATGAAAGCACGATGCCTTCTGTTTAACAGTGTGTTAGTATTATTCACAATTACTTTAAACGCCGATAATATAACTATTAATATCACTCACAAGAACAACTCTTGATTGTACAGGACCTCGAGGTTCACAACAACTCTATGAAATAGGGCTCTTGCCCAAGCCCAGGGCCTAATATAGTGCTTGGCATCTAGCAGGTGTTTAAATAAACGTTTACTAACTATTGATCCCGACCTGGAGATTGCAGAGCTGGGGAGGGGAGGACCCCTCCATAGGCACTCTATAACAGCTCAACGATGGAGCTCAAGTCTTATTCTTCCCATTTTAAAGATTTGGAAACTGAGGTTCACAGCAGGGTATAAAAGGTTTGGAATCAGAGGACCCAGGTTCCAATCAAAGCTTAGCCACTACTTATTCCTTTGACCTTGGGCAAATCCCATCACCTCTCCCAGCCTTGGTTTCCCCATCTCCAAAATGAGGGGTTTGTTTTTGACGATCTTTTTCTCCCAGATCTATATTCTCAGAGAGGGGCAATTATTTGCTAAACATAGCATTGTCAGATCTTGAACTCAGATCTGCTTCCATCAGGCAATAAGTATTTATTAAGCACCTAATGTATGCCAGGCACTGCGCTAAGTGCTGGGGATACAAAAAAAAAGACCAAAGACAGCCCCTGCCCTCAAGGAGCTTTTGGTCTAATGACTCTGTGACTATGGCTTCACTGCCCCACAATGCTTTTACTGTAGTGCCCAGGGACTCGAAAATCAGCCCCGTGTTCTCTAGCCCTGAAAATTCCAACACGCCAAACTCCGCTGGAGTTGAGCTCCAGACCCTTCACATAGTAGGCTCTTAACAGTCAATCAAACAGCATTTATTAAGTGCTTACTGTGTACCAGGCACTGGGGCTACAAAGGAAGGTGAAAACAGTTTCTGTTTTAATAAATGCTTTTCAAATGAACCCAGCATGGCCCAGGCTGAAATGCGAATGCTCGTGTTTTTCTTTTAGCCCCAGAACAGAGAACAACCAAGCCACACCCGGGGAGTGAGACCAGACCAGAAAAGGGGTGAAGTGCCTCTGTCCTGGCTGCCTTTGATCAGCTCCCTCCTCCCCTGGCTCTGGGAATCCCTAGCTCCATTGGCAGTCACCCCCACAAGAAGCCCTTCCTTGGGCCATATTCTCCATTCACGTCTAGCTGGGTTTCTTCCAGTAGAACATAAGCCCTTTGAAGGCAGTGACCATTTCATTTTGATCCTTGTTTCCCCAGCATCTTTCACAGTGCCTGACATGCTTGGTCAATTGAACAGAACTGACCTCCCCACTGAGAACTGCCTGGACAGGAGGTCACTAGAAATATGGGTCAGAATTTTGCCCAAATCTTAATGGTCTCCGACTCTAGAGCAGATGGCCCTTTAGAACAAATATGAGATTTTACACTCAGAATGCATCACAGATCACTTTGGCTCCCTACTGTCTCTAGGCCAGGCTAGAGGATGGCCCGAGGTAGTTCAGCTACCTTTGTCTCCTACAAGTTCCAGCTGGTCTGGTAAGCTAACTCTGGCCAAGTTTCTCCTCTTTGGGTCCACGGGGGCCTCTGGCTTGGCCTGGATTTCTATTCTTCCTCTCCCTCCTCCCACTCCCCAAATTGGGTTTTTAGTCCCCAAAGCATGGTAAAGACTTGAGTAGATTCTCAGAGGCAATGAGCTATTTCTGGAAGGATCTATATTTTATAAGCCCCTGGGTGGCTTCAACTAATTTCCATTGGTGATGTTGTCTGAGCAAGCTTGGCTGGCAGTGAGTGTGTGTGTGTGTGTGTGTGTGTGTGTGTGTGTGTGTGTGTGTGTATGTGCTTTTTGGCAGTCCCTGACACTTCCCAGAACAGGATGACCGCTGCTGTTATTTTCCATGCATGAGACAGTCAAGGCTGGTTTCTCTTTAGCTCTAGGCCCACCAACTAATGTACATTAAGTACAGTTTCTATCCTCAAGGAGTTCTCATCGTTTGTTAAAATACACACACCTGCTCTATGCTCATCTCAAGATTGTGAAGTTTGTAGTGGAAGGGAGACCCTTCACACCCGCTCCACAACAGCAAAGGTGTGGGGTACACCTGTTTGCGTGCTCACCCAATTTCCAAGCTGCAAGAAGTCTGAGCTGAAGGAAGAGGGGGTGCCCAGGGCTCCAGTCAAGGCATTGAGGAGCCACTGGGCAATTGAGGCTGACATGCCTTCAACCATCATGGGCACATCTTTCCTGCTCCAGCTTGGCTCAGGCGAATGCACCCTTGATGCCAAGTCAGAGGCCCCAAGTTCAAAGTTGGACTCTGCCACCTGGCTGCCCCGGCATTTTCTCTCTGAACCACACTCAAGTCTTCTCCTCTGTAGAAAGAGTGGAGTCTAGGGGGATCTCCAAAGCCTCTCAGCTTTAAAATCCCCTCCTCTTTCTCTATTCCATCCCCTTTCTTTTTTTTCTCTGCTTGTCTCCTTTCAACCTATTGATATACTAGGCTTGCTGGCTGGTCACAGAATGGGGCGTGAGGGGGAGAGGCTATTGACCCCTGGACTAGAGAAGAGGCTTTGTCTCAGTCCCCCAGGCTGGGACATCTCCCAAACCCGACTGTCCTGGCGGCCTCCGAGAGTCTGAATGCGCGTCTGGAATCATCGTCCCGCCGTGGAGGAGGAGATTAGGGTCTCCGCAGGTCCAAGAAGAGAGCTAGGGATCTCAGAGAACTCCCCACCCCGGGATCCCCCGTACCCTCACAGTCACCCTAAGCCCCCTCGGATCCCCATCAAACACTGGACGACCCCTTCCCTCATCTAAAAGATCAGCGTGTCTCACCTGAGATCTGAATGGGTAAGAAGAGGCTGAGCCATAGCAGCTGCATCGTGATAAGCTCCAGGGGGTGAAGGACACTTGGTGGCCCTGGTCCTGTCGGCTCTGCTGGGGCTGGGCTGGGGGGCGGGGCCGTGGGGGGCGGGGCCAGAGGGCGGCCGGCGCCCCTTTCCCCTCTCCCCCCCCACCCCGCCCATTGAAGGGCCAGGAAGCTGGGGGAGGGAGAGGGTAGGCTGCGGGGAGGATGACTTCGGACACGAGGGTGGCCTGGACAGGATTTTCACAACCCGCCCCGTCCCCAAGTCCGCCCATAGCTCAGCCTCGTGTGGGGGCCCGATAGGTCTCACCGTCTTACCCTTTACACCCTGAGTTTCTCTCACCTTCCCTGCATTTCCAAAGAGCCCTCGAGGTCCTGCTTCCGACAGCTGCCCCCAGCCCCATCCGTGGTGGCGGGATCCCTGCGTGAGTTGGGATGGGGTCTTGTCCCCTGCTCCTCCCAGATTCTCCCGTCCAACAGGAAGAAAAAAAGCAGAGTTTGGGATCCACCTCACAGTCTTGGAGAAGGGGTTCTATTTTTCTTTTCAGATTGTGAGCAGAGAGGACCGTGATGCATAAACTATGAAGAGAGCATCTTCAAGAGAGTATGATCGATGAACTCGTTTCAGGTACATTGTAGATGTTCTTCCCATTCAGGGACACTGTGACCCCTGAGGTCTCTTCTGACCCAATCATGAACTACAACGCTCACCAAAGTCCATAGAATCGGAGATTTTAGACCTGGAAGGGACCTGAGAAGCCAGGGGGGTCCAACCCTCCCATTTTATGGTGGGGAGGCTGGTTGAGGTGCCTGAGGTCTCACACAGGTCACAATTTGAACTCAGACTGACTCCAAAACCAGAGCTCTCGAAATTTCCAACGCCCTCTTCTGTCTCTACACTCTTCCACATTTAATGAATGACATAAGCTTAATAAACATTAGGCATTAGTGATAAGCACATAACTAATTACACCATGCACTACCTTTTTTCCAGTTTCTGAGAAGTTATTCTCTTTTCCCTTTGTTCTCCAATCTCTGTATTCAGCAAAAATGTCTCCAATACCTTATGAGCTCTCTTCTCTTCACGTCTCCACACAGATAATTTACATGTTAAAAGTTAATGGTCTGTTCAAAGATTTTTCCAAGCAGCCTTATATGTAATTGCTAAAAGCTGAAAGCAACCTAAATGTTTAAATAAATGATCATAATCCACGATCACAATGGAATGCTATGATGCAGTTGAGACTGAAAAGTCTGAGTATTACAGAGAAATCTGGAGAGATCTTTACGAAATAATGCAAAGGAAGGCCAAAAAAAAAAAGCCCTCCAGAGAGAGTGGGCAATAACTAGGTTTATATGAAGAAAAATGACTGAGAATGAATGACAAGAATTCTGATGGGAACTGAAAAATGATGTGATTTGCTAGGTCTTGGGCTTAATTAAAAAATTAGTATTGTGCTTATGAGAGGCAGCCTTTTGGTGATGGCAAAGAACCAGATCTCGGCGTAAGGAGGAGCTGGCTTCAGAAGCCCGGACTCGGCCAGTATTGCCTGTGCCATCCTAGGCAGTTTACTTCACTTTTCAGGGCCCCAGGGGGTGACTCTTAGAGTTCTCTGCCCCCAAAACGAGCAAAATCAAAAGCAGAACAAACTGTAAAAGCCGTGTCAACACTAGGGGACTTCATAATTCAACTGTAGTCCAGTAATCTAAAGAAATCTTCTATGGACTGAGTCCAAGTTTTACAGAACAAATCCTTTTATTAAGGGGATTTGTTCTGTGAAGTTTGGATTCCATCGAAGGGCCGCCCTTGAGGATTTAGAGGGCCACATGTGTCCTCAAGGCTGCAGGTTCCCCACCCCTGCTCTAAGGCAATTGATGCGGGCAAGTCTGAAGCATATAAAGAACTCTGGAAGGGTCTTCTGATGACAAGACCAAGGCTATACCAGATGTCTCCGCTGGAGACAAAATCGGATCCCCTAAATCCCAGGAAGGGAGTTAATGACTGGTAATGAATGGCTCAATGTGTGATCTTGGGGATTTGGAATCAAATCACCTGTGTTGGAATTCCCAGCTTTGCGCATTAGTGCTTGTGTGAACTTGGGCCGGTCACGACCTACCTGGACCTCAGTTTCCTAATCAGTAAAACAAGGGCATTGCATGACCTCCAAGGTGCTGTTCAGTTTCACCTCTTAGGATTCCCACCCAAAATGATTTTTCTACACTGGGACATGTATGGGGCTATCCTGGATGCATCTGGTATAATGTGTATGCGTATGTGTGTGTGCGAGCGTGCATGCATGTATACTAGGGCACATCTGTAAGGATGACAAACCTCTGGCTACTCCCAGCTGGTCATGTGTGCCTTGGTGCTGAAGGGCTCAAATGCTTTGGGGAAGACAAAGCAGTTGGTGGCCCACCAGACAGGGCTAGGGGCCATGTCAGGAAGATGAGTTCAAATCCGTCATCAGACTTGTGACCCTGGGCAAAGTCACTTATTCTCTGTTTCCTCATCGGTAAAATGGGGGTAATAACAGCCCCTACCTCCCAGGGCTGTTGTGAGGATCAAATGAGATAATTTTTATAAAGTGCTTGGCATAGTGCCTGGCACACAGTAGGTGCTTGTTTTCTTCCTTTCCCCTCTTATTGGCCACTGAGTGGGAAGAAGCAATGACTCAGTGGCTCTTTAAAATTCCTCAGCTGACTCTGCTGTTTTCCATCTAAAGACTGCCTAAAGAGTATTCTAGTCTATTGGAAGCGAATAAGTGAAAAATCTTCAGCCCTTCCTCCCAGCCCGGCCCTGATGACTGCTCCTGGGGGGCAGGCTCCGGGCCAGATGAGATGAGCCTGGGCCTGAGGGCCCCTGGCTGCAGCTTCTGTTTCAGATTTCCTTTCCTGAGTCGAGGTTACCAAACACAATACAGAGATGGAGACGTCTAGTCTTTGAAGCAACCTTTTGAGTCGAGGAGGTTGGCCATCCTGGGTCCTCAGTCAGGACTGACTGAGGCCAGAAGGCGTGCTTGGAGCAGATAGTCACCAGCTGGAGAAGGAACCCGAGACCTGCCCCGGCTGGCCAGAAGACACCCCAGGGCAGAGTAGAGAGGGGTGAAATGTCACAGTGCTGATTCAGCTGCCCTGAGAGCAGCTTCTCCCAGGACTATGCCGCTGCTTATGGGACTTGTTCAGGTTTTTCTGTCAAGGCTGCTTGTGAGAGCCTTTCTTTTGTGTGGAGGGAATAAGTAAATACCTGTCCCATACCTAATTCTTATTGTATCTTGAGTAGCTTTCTCTTTTCACCTCTTTTCACCATAGGCCTGAGGCCACACTGAAGCCTTAAGTAATTTTGCGTGGTGTCAGAATGGGGTGTAATGAGCCAAAGGGGGTGAGGAGGAGCCTGACTCCCCTTCTAGGTGACTAGGCTCTCCTGGGACTGGCTGTGGTTTGGGACCAGACGAGAGGGATTCCCTTAGTAGAGAGGTGCAGAATATAGTGCCTTAGCCTTGTGGCCCAGGAGTGATTTATTGTAAGACAGGAGATATAGTAAGTGGCACACAGTAGATGCTGTATAAATGTTAGCTATTAGGTATGTAGTATCTATATATATGTGTATGTATGTGTGTGTATATATATATATATATATATATATATATATATATATGCACATATATATAGTTTAGTCTATATATATACACATATATGAGTATAATATATATAGAAATATATATATATATATATATATATATATATATATATATATATATATATATATATATATATATATATATATATATATATATATATATATATATATATATATATATATATATATATATATATATATATATATATATATATATTATATATATATATATATATAGAAATATATATATATATATATAGTATACACACATAGTAGACATTTATATAGCACGTACTACGTACCAGGCAGTATGCCAAGTGCTTTATAATTATCATCTCATGTGGCCTCCACAACAACTCTGGGAGGTAGGCACTATTATTATCCCCAAATGACTGGTGAGGAAACCTAGGCAAATAGAGGTGAAATGGCTTGCCCAAGGTCACACAACTAGTGAGTGTATAAGACAAGATTTGAACTCAGATCTTCCTGATTCTAGGCCTGGCATTGTATCTACTGTTCAGTCTAGCTGCCCCAATACATATGTACATATTAAAAACATATAGAATATATACATATGCCACACACATGTAGAATGTATAGAAATACACATAAACACATGATAGACACAGAAATATATACAATATAAATATACAACACACATAAATATATACATATATAAATGTACAACACATGCAGGAATACATACATATAAAATATAAAACATATGCAGAAATATACACATGTAAAAGTACAATGTACATATGCTATGTATATATGCTGTGTGTATATATAATGTGCGTATATGTGTATATGCTATTTTATATATGTGTGTATATATATATGTACACACACACACACACACACACACACACACACACTGTGACCTGGTCTAAGCAGGCAGAGCTGAGACAAGGCATCTGTTTGTGTGCCCCAGGAGAGGCTGGAGCATTGTGACCATCATGTGTCACTGTCCACGGAAGCCTTTGTGTTTTTGCCATGAGATGCAAGGCTTGACGCGTCCCCAGACGCGACCCCTGAGAGTCAGAGCTGGAAGGGACTTTCGAGGCCCTCCAGGCCAGCAGCCTCACGTTACAGATGAGGACGCTGAGGCCCCCAGATGTCAGGTGATTTGCTCAGGGTTCCACAGGGGAAAGCCACAGATGTTGGGTCCAGACCCTGCTCTTCTCACTACCACTGCCCTGCCCTGGTGGTGCTCGGGACGTGCGCCTTAACAGTGAGAGCACTCACAGAACTTGCAGGTTGGAAGGGAGCTCAGTGATGCTGGATGGCCCCAAAGAGTCCGCCCTTGACGTGTTTGCCAGGGGGTCGTCCAGCAGAGAAGCCTCTATCTCCCGGAGGCCGCCCAGGCTCCATCTGACTCTCTCTAGCTTAGAAGTGTTTCTTGACATCAAGCTTAATTTGCCTGTTGACATTGTC